TGAGAAGGTGTCCACATCATGGGTTGCCAGTTTGGATGCAAGTCCAAACATTTTATAATGGATTAACAATGAATGTGCAAACTATGGTGGATGCAGCCTTGGGAGGAGCATTACAGAATAGACTCCGGAAGAAGCTCACGAGCTGCTTGAGGTCCTGGCAAGCACAACTATCAAAGACCTAATGAGAGGGTGCAACCGAAGAAATCTATGGGTCTTCATGAAGTTGATGCATATACAGCCATTTCAGCCCAATTGACATCACTTCAGAAACAGTTGGGAAGTACGCAGTAATTCCGTTCAAACTCCTCAACTAACTTGTGATTTTTGTGCAGGTAATCATGTGAGCAGTGAATGTCAAGTAGGGAACACGTTTGCCTCAACATCATCAACATCAGAGCAGGTTAACTACTTGGCTGGAAATCAAAGGAAACCGAACAATCCGTACTCCAACACATTTATCCCAGTTGGAGGAATCACCCAACCTGTCTTGAGGCAATCAAAACCAACAGAATCAGCAAAACCATCAATGGAATCAAAGGTCATTGCCAATAATCAAACAGGGGTGAACAACCAACAAGGAGACCCAGAGTGACAAAATTGGAGGACATGTTGGGAAGTTTATGCAAGAAACCACGGGTTTTATGAATGAGACGGACGACTTTCAGAAATCAAAGGGCGTCCATTCAGAACTTAGAGGTACAGATGAGGCAGTTAGCTGAAAAGCCAAATGAGAGACCATAGGGGTCTTACCAAGTAACACGGTGACTAACCCACGTGAGCAGTGAATGCAACAACGTTGAGAGTGGGACTACAGTTTTAGAAGAGGTGGAAAAATCGAGAGAAGAGGAAAGTCCATCGAAGAAAAAAAGAGAATCTGATAAGGAAGTTGATAAAGAAATCATTGCTGAAGAGAAACCACCCAGCCCTAGGAAAGATGAGCAAAAGCAAGAAAAGGGGAAAAAGAAAAGGAAAGAGAAATTGTCATTCCCCGAGATACCACCAAGTTGGCAATCACACTCCACCCGTGCCTTTTCCTCAAAGGCTCAGAAAAGAAAATCAGGATAAGCAGTTCATTAAATTTCTTGATGTTTTTAAGAAACTGCATATTAACATTCCTTTTGCAGATGCATTGCAACAGATACCGAGTTACGCAAAATGCTCAAGGAGATCTTATCAAACAGAGGAAGTTAGAAGATGAGGAAACGGTGATGCTCACAGGGAGTGTAGTGCCATTCTCCAGAAGAAACTGCCACCAAAACCAAAGATCCAGGGAGTTTTACTATTCCTTGCACTATAGGGATATTACCTTTGATCGAGTTTTATGTGACCTAGGTGTTAGCATTAACCTTATGCCTTTTTCTGTTTTTAGGAAATTAGGAATTGGTGAAGTGAAGCCGACAACCATATGCTTGCAACTTGCGGATAGATCCATAAGCATCCAAGGGGCATTGTAGAGGATGTGTTGGTTAAGGTGGACAAGTTTATCTTCCCTGCAGACTTCTTTGTATTGGATATGGAAGAGGACAAGGAGATTCCTCTTATCCTGGGATGACCATTTCTGGCTACCGAAGAGCTTTAATCGACGTCAAGAAAGGAAGTTAATCATAGGATGCAAGATGAAGAAGTAACATTTAATGTCCCTGAGTCGATGGGATTTCCACCTAAGGAGATCATGTTTAAAAATCGATGTGGTGGACCAGGCAAAAATTGAAACCTTCCAACTGAAACGTCTTAATGAATTAAGAGCTGCATTGTCAACCCGAGTCAGTTAGAGAGTGAGGACCATAACGAAAAGGGTTGCATAACATTCCAAGATGAGCCACAGTCGAGATGGTGTTTTCACAAGGAACGGTCTCTTAGCATAAAAAGGGTGAAGGAAAGTCAAGAAAATAGAAAGCGGTCGTTGAGAAGAGTCGGCCACCAAAGTTATAACCATGGGATGGAAATGGGTGGCTAAGCTCTCAACAAAGACCCTGTGTGAAAAAGATCACACAATGAAGCTCCACACAAGGGAGATTTTTGGGATGTGATTTACCTGGATAGTTCGGACTGACTGTAGAAAATCAAAAGAGTCAAGCTTTCGACTATAAACAAGCGCTCCTTGGGAGGCAACCCAAGTGTTTTCATTTCTTTATCTTTGTCATTATTTTGTAGTTGTTTAGTTTTTGGTTGATTGTGTTATGAAGTTTAATTTGTGTGTTTTTGGATGTTTTAGGTGAAATTGCAAATCAAAAGAAAACTGAATCTTCCAGTTTTCGCTGCGGCGAAGCAATTTTTGAAAATATTTGATCTGCAAAAGGTTCCAGACCTCGCTGTGGCGAAAATGTTTCTTCGCTGCAGCGCCATTCTCTCAATAAAGTTCGCCGCGCGACAAATTTGTCTTCCCCGCAGTGAGAGAACCATGAGTGAATTGACTAAGGGAACTTCGCCGCGACGAAGATTGTTCTTCGCCGAGCAAAGTACTCCCTGTAATTTTTCACCGCGGCATCAACTGGGTTTTAAACCCTAGAATTCAATTGATGAACTTCGCCGTGGCGAAGTATGCTTTCTATAATTCTCACTTTCTTCTTCATTTTTCACGCGACTCTTCAAACCCATTTCAGAGAAAAATTTTCAAACTTCAATCCAGAGTCTTCCCAGTGATTTCCCAACCAATTTCCTCACTCCTTAACCCTCCTAAACACCAAAACAACTCTTACAACAACAATTTCACGAAAATTCATGAAATTTTTGAGTTCAAGGAAATTTGGGGGTTTGCAATCTAGGCTGATTTTGGTTCAATTGATGGTGAATACTCCTTAGTTGGGTAAGATTAACGTTTTCTAAGCTTTTATCTCAAAAATTTCAAATTTAATTTGTAGATCTGAAATTTTGATTGTTGGTTGAGTTGTGGAAATTTTGTACTTGTAAGTGTTGATTTTGTTTGAGGAAAGGTTGATTGTGCGTTGTGTGATATTGAGGAGTATGGGTTTTGAATTTTGAAGTGTTTGGTTGAAATGAAAAATTGTAGTTTGGGGTTGAGGTGAAAATTTTAGAAGTGTTAAAGGTTTTGCAGGATTGAATTGTGTTGTAGGCACTTAGGTTTAATTGTTGAGTTGCATTGTTTGAGTTAGTGTAGTTGAGGAGAAAAGCGCTCAAAGTCAAGGTACCATCCAAGGGCAAGGGAAAAGGAAAGAAAGTAGATGACCGGTTTATGAATGATAAGGCTCGAAAAAACTATGAGGCAGCAGTCAAAAGGAAAGACAAGGGTTTATCCTTGAACGTGGACTGGCTGTAACCAAGGCTGATGAGTGGATTCAAAGAAGAGTTGGGACAACTTTAGGAGTGAACCCGAACATGCGGCTGTGGAACCACTGGTGAGAGGGTTTTATGCCAACCTCCCTGAATGTGATGAAGGGTTGTTTTAGTGAGGGGTATTGATGTAATTCACTGCAAAGGTCATCAATGATTTCTATGGCTTACCTCAGATTGACAATGATGAATAGAGGAGTTTAGGAGGACACAGAAAAGGGATGAGGTGATTCTTAGAACCATAGCGAAACCAGATGCCTCTTGGGATGTTTCAAAGAAGGGGAAGAAAACCATTAATGGTACTAGTTTAACACCAGTGGCTCAGTTGTGGCGTATTTGTTTCAGCTAGGATGATGTCGGAGATGTACTACAGTCAATAAAGTATGATAAGGCATCTTGTTGTATTCTATTGCCACAGGAAAGAGAATGGATGTAGGGCACAATCATCCTGACGAGTATCCAACTTGCAGCCAAACCAAGGCGAGGCAGTTTTCTGTTCCCACAACTCATTATAGCTTTGTGCACTAAGGCAGAGGTCGGGTACAGGCTGATGACCTTGATCCATGTTGCCCCAGTCCTCGACATAGCTTACTTCCGAAAACACTCTGCACCTCAAACGCAAGGCTCATCAGGCACCAAGAGAAAGAGAACCACAACACGGCCACTGCATCCGATTCAACAGTCCCATGAGAGAATGATCAGAAAAAATGATGAGTCGATGAAAAGAATGGAGCAACGTTAGGATTGGCTGGCAGAGCAGGCCAGGAAGACACATGAGCTGCAAATTAGCTACTGCAACAACGTCGGGATTAATACTTCAGAACACCAGTGGGCTGACTTGGATTCAGATGAGTGGATGGGCTCCGATTCAGAAGAGGATGACGATGAGGAAGCGGAGGAGGCCGACGAATGAGCACCTGTTTTAGTTTCATTATTTTTATTTGTTTTAGTTGTTTCTATTTTTCTGTTATTTTGAACATTAAACTAGTTGATATTTTTGTTTGGGATTGTGTTAGTTTTTTAGTTGTTTCATTTTGTTTTAAATTCTAGTTGATGTAAAGACAAGATTAGGTTGTAATACTTTCATATTAGTCAGTGGATTTTTCTAACATAGTGGACACCATAGTTTTCAATTGTTTTCACAGAATTTGGTGATGAAAAGGCTGAGGACCGGGTGTACACTCTGTGAGCGGAATTTCAACTTCTGGATTAATCAAGGAACTATCTCGCACCTTTTTCTAATTTGTTTTCTATTCCTAATTTATGCATAATGTGAACTTTGGTAAAATAAATAGAATAAACACAAATAGTTAATTAATCTCTTTTAAATTCGAAACTCAGCGGTATTATACTTGACAGAAGATTACAGCTTTACCAAACAAATATACAAAAACTCTATTCACTGAACCTGTTTTTTTCTTGCATTACAATAGCTAATATATTTTATTATTTATGATTATAATTCATTTATAATTATATTTCATGCAGAAAAAATTAACTGCTTCAAGATATAAATTTGTACAATAGTAAAACATGTAAAGGCAGGTGGGATGAAGGGCTTAAAATAAAATAAATTTTGTCAGAGATAGGAAAATTCTTCCATAATTAAACAATTGATTTCAAGCTTGAAGAGATTGCTATATAAACCCTTTCATTTCTTGTTGATATCATTCAAAACTAGTTCTTCAATCACTAAGAAAGTAAGCAAAATGGCAAAAATTTGGCCTCGTCTGGTTTATGCATTGGCATTATGTTTGGTTGCTACTAATGTAGCTGCTGATTACAAGCCTTACAATTTTGCTTCACCATCACCTTATTATCATAAGTCACCAAATTCATACCGTTACAAGTCTCCTCCGCAGCCTTCTCCACCTCCACCTCATTACTATTACAAGTCGCCACCGCCGCCGCTTAAGTCACCTCCACCTCCTTATTACTATAATTCACCTCCACCTCCAAAAGCATCTCCTCCACACCAGTATTACTATAAGTCACCACCTCCGCCATCTCCATCACTTCCTCCTCCATATGTTTATAAGACCCTGCCACCACGTTCGTCTTCACCTCCTGCTCCATACGTTTACAAGTCACCACCTCCACCATCTCTGTCAACTCCTCCTCCTTATGTTTACAAGTCCCCACCACCACCATCTCCATCACCACCTCCTCCATATGTCTACAAATCACCACCTCCACCTTCTCCTTCACCACCTCCTCCATATGTCTATAAGTCGCCGCCACCTCCATCAACATCACCTCCTCCTCCATATATGTACAAATCTCCTACCCCACCATCTCCATCACCTCCACCTCCATATGTTTACAAGTCCCCACCTCCTCCGTCTCCCTCTCCTCCTCCTCCATACATTTACAAGTCGCCGCCACCACCTTGTCCTTCACCTCCTCCTCCATATATCTACAAATCACCACCACCACCTTGTCCTTCACCCTCTCCTCCATATATTTATAAGTCACCCCCACCCCCATCTCCGTCACCACCTCCTCCATATGTCTACAAATCACCACCACCACCCTCGCCTTCACCTCCTCCTCCATACGTTTAAAAGTCTCCATAACTGCCTTCTCCATCACCTCCTCCTCCATACATTTACAAGTCACCACCTCCTCCATCGCCATCACCTCCTCCTCCTTATGTCTACAAATCCTCACCTCCTCCATCTCCATCACCACCACCACCTTACTACTATAGGTCTCCTCCCCCACCATCTCCTTCACCTCCTCCTCCATACTATTACAAATTACCACCACCTCCCAAAGGTTACTAAACAAGTCACTGATTCCACTCGGAGCTACTCCACTTCATCAATACACAATGTTGACAGACAATATTTGTTGACTACATTCTGGAGCCAGATTTTTTTACTTGAATGCAACACTTCATTATTGTAAACTTCTTTGAAGCATTTCAATTTTCACTTATTTTTGTACTGTTTTACTTCTAATGTTACACATTTACTCTATTCAATAAATTAATACTTCCGACTTTAAAGTTTAAATTCTTAGATAAAGGTCTAATTAATATTTAATATTAAAGTGAATTTAAAAAAAAATATTTATATAGCACCAATTTGACCTGGTTCTTAAATATTAAATCAAAGAAAGAAACTAAGTTTTAGCGCGAGTTAACGTAACAATAAGGTTAGCACTCGACTATATCTTTAGAATTGATAAACAAGTCTCAATCACAGAAACTTATGTCTAAAAGCCTAAAATAAAATATGAATAATTATTGAATAATATCCAAAAACGAATAATATGTTTATATAGGGTGACAATCAACCCTAACAAGACTCCAAATAAACAAGGAATAAAATCCAAATTAATTAAAAAAAGAAAATCCTAAATAAAATAGGAAAAAATGCACAAAAATTAAGAGGGCCTCAAAGCATACCGAAACAGTGGATTTTAGGACCGAAAACATTCCCCAGCCAAGGAACTTGGTTACCATATCGTAGGGCTCGAAACGAACTTTTTGTTGATATATTATGGGTCTCGTAACTTCTCCTTGATCAAAAATTATGGTAGTTTAAAGTTGGTTTGTCCACGTTTAGGCTTTTGACACTCAGTCCCATCCAAGAATTCATCTACTAAATATTCTACGTCAATTGCGTTATTAATTTTATGAACAAAGCTGATAGTTTTTTACTAAACTATAAAAATTAAGAGTCAATTATACATTCAATTAATTATGTCACTAGAAGAGAAACATTTTAATTAAACAATGTGGAGACTTTTAGGAGAAGATGTGGGCACAAATATTGGACGACACAGATACTTTTGTATAGCTACAGATGGAAACTTCTGATTACCATAAATTCAAATCTTCCATCATCTTAATTATATTTATTTCCAAATTGCTATTAATTAATCAAAATATTGATCATTGTTAGTAAAGGAGAGAAACGTTTAACTCTAATCTGTTAGTTTGTTGTTACTTTTCTGTTAACATTCAGTTAGCAATAACAAGATTAGTTAGAGATTAATTATACTCATGTAAACACTATAAAAGTGTACAATGTAACTGAACAAATATCAAGAAAAAGAAATATACCAAGTTTTCCATATTTTTCTCTTTCTCGTGTTGTTCCTCTACTCTTCTTCCTTTTCTTTCTTACTTTACTCAAAGTCTCACATGGTATCAGAGCCATTGACTAGCGTAAAAAATGGTTGATCTAACACATCTTTCTTCTAATTCAACTAATTCAGCTCATAAATTACCCACTAGTTCAGTCGATTGCGCAAGTTCCTCATCAATGTCTTACTCAGCTCTTCCCGTAATTTCCCCTAAACTAACTAGGGATAATTACAGATTTTGGAAATCCCAAATTCTGTTCGTAGTTGGATCTCACGATTTAGAAGAGCACCTCACTGGATTTGTCTCATGCCCAGCTCCATTTATCAAGATTCAAGCTGAAAACTCAAAAGGAACCATGGAGAAAAGACCTAATCCAGAGTACAATCAGTGGAAGAAAACTGACAAATTACTTGTAAGCTGGCTTCTTAGCTCAATCTCTGAATCTATGTTTAATGTAGTTTCAAAATGTCAATTTTCCGCCGACATGTGGATTACCTTGGAGAAAGAATTTCTTACTGAATCAAGGACCAAAACCTTGCATGTTAAGAATTTGCTGCAAAATACTAAAAAGGACAATCTAAATATTCATGAGTATTTCGTTAAAATGAAAGGATTTGCAAAAATCTTGTCTGGTAGTGGAATTGTTGTTACCGATGAAGAGCTTTTGAACTATATACTTGATGGATTAAACTCTGAATATGATCCTGCTATAGTGAATATAACTACCAGATTAGAGTCTCGCTTAGATCCATTAACAATTCAGGAAGCGTAGATCATTATGCATAAGTATGAACTTAGGTTAGAGAAAGCAAATATGGCCTTGAATTCTATTATTAACACTGAGTTCAATGGGGTGGGGGTCAGTTCATCTTGCTAATATCTCTACAAATGAACCTGACAAGAAGTATCAAAATGAATTGCAATCTAAGTTCAGTTTTGGACAACTCAGCTCTGGGCAATCTAGCTTTGGACAGCCTCAAGTTCCCAGTCCAGTTTTTCAAACTCCTAGTTTCAGACCTCATCCATACACCTCTACACAATCCATTCCCAATCCTAATCACCCTATTAACCCATCATTTTACAACCCATCTTACTTTCCACAATTTGGTGGTGGCTGAGGTAGAGGCAGAGGTGTTGGAAGAAACAAACTGATATGCCAAGTTTGTGGAAAAACTAGACATTTAGCATTAAACTGCTATCACCGATTAATACTAGTTTTACTGGAGCAAATAATGTGCCAGGCAAAAACAACTTTGCTTAGAATTATCTCAGATCACCGGAGAACTTTTAGCCACAATTTTACCCTCCACATGTTCCTTACAACTCCAGTGCACATAATCCTCTGACTACACAGCTTGACTTCTCCAATACTGTCTCACATAGTTCAAGTGCTAATTTAGCTAGATTTCCAACCATTTCTTAATCAACTCCAGTGCAGTCTCAGATATCATCTGGATCACAACTGTTAGGATATGAAGAAAACTGACTTGTGTTGACCATTGATATAGCTGATGTGTCAGGGAGTTAGTTACATTTATGTTACAGTGCACATGTAGTGCACGTGTATATAAACACCTGTATCACCTTCTTCATCAAGTTAATCAATAACAAACTTGAGATTCTTTCCCTTTTTTGCTCTGTTTTTCTGCATTTTCTATCAGTATTCTAAGTTGGTATCAGAGCCATTGACAAACGTCAAGAATGGCTGATCTCTCTCAAAATCCTTCACCTCTTCACAAAACAGACAATAGTTCAAGCTCTAAACACACTTTTGACTCAAATAATCTCATCAATTCTGCTACAATGACATCTTCAACACTGCCTGTGATTTCACCTAAACTAACGAGGGACAACCACCGCTTTTGGTAATCACAGATTCTCTTTATAGTTGGAGCTCACGATCTTGAAGAACATCTTACTGGTTTAATACCATGTCCAGCTCCTTTCGTGAAAGCCTTATTAGATGGTACACAATCAAAGGTTCCATAATATCTGCTTTGGAAGAAAACTGATAAGATGTTAGTTAGTTGGTTATTGTCATCAATTTCAGAAACTATGTTTGCGGTGATTGTTGTAGATTTTCGTAAGTGTATGAAATCGTGCAAGTAATAAAGTGTATAAAATACGGATATTGAACCCAAGGGAATTACTATTATCAATTACCAATTAAACTATCCTATTACTATTTGATCAATCCAAAATTTATCAAGGAAAACCTAAATTAAATAAACAATTGAATTTAAAAAGAAAACTGAAAAGAGAACAATTAAAATAAACCTTTGGGTAAAAACAAGATGACTAGACCTAGGGCATAGACTTCACACCAACTCTTATTCATATGTATCGATCTCTTATGCTAGTTTTATTAAGCTCTTCCTACAGGTCAAACTCCCTAAATTTCCAATAACTTTCTCTCGAACAATTATCAAATTAACCTCTAATTACTAACTCTAATTATCTCTAATCAGATTTAAACAATTGGGGATCATTACGCTCTATGGAGTTTACCAAAACCTCACACGTCACGGTAACCTATCTCTAGCATTCGCTCAACCTATGGTTTTACTACCGTAGACCAATTAAGTATCATCTCTCAATCTCAACTTAGTCCATTAGTTCATTCAATTCTTGGGCCCTTAAGAATCAAAAGCATTAGGAATAATAGTAAAACTTAGGAAGAATTCTTAATACAAATTAACAATCAAAGATCAATACATAATTAAGAGATTGGGCTACATCTTAGCCCTGGAGAATAAATTTAGTTTATAATAAACATGAAAGAAACAATCATGTTTATTAAAACATTCATCATGAGTTTACAAGAAAAGAATAAGGAAAACTTCTCTATATTGTGAATCAAAGCTCCAGAATTTCTGTTACTTCTCTTCTCTCTAGATTTTTCTCCCTTTCTTCTCACCAAAGAAATTCCCCTTTTAATGCTAAAAGACTTCTATTTATATCCCACAAGGGTTAGGGTTTGTTTTTCCTTAATTCTATTTGATTTCGAACCCTTAACCCCATTCTCCTGGCTAAAAACGGATAACAAACTAGTACTTCCGTGACTGTGCCGTGGCACTGTGCTGTGGCATAGTAGCTACTGGAAAAAGTGTGCCGCGGCACAGTGGCTGCTGCCCTTTTCCCGCATCATTCCACTATTCTTCAAATATGTTGATTTTTGAACTCGATAACGATGGAATTTGGAAAAGTTGTAAACATATGAAATGTATACCTTTGAATCAGCTTTCCAACGGTCTAAGAATTGTCTTAATCCGATTTCTACAGATCAAGATATTCTCAAAATACCGAGGCATATGCAAGCTGGAACATAATCTAGAATCTTCTCTTTACTTCAACTTCCATAACTTCTTCAATTCAACTCCGATTCTTGATCCGTTTGCTTCCACTAGTCACTCATTCCGTTTCCAATATGATTCTTCATCCGAGCATAACATTTAAGCACTAGTGACCTGAAAAACACTCAAAAATACCCGTGATCCCATAAAAGGCAATTATGAAAATATTAAGCAACTTTACCAAATTAAGCCTAATTTCCCACAATTAATCCCCCAAAAACCACTAACTAATGTGTATTTTCAAGCTCTTATTAGTGATCTCTAAGTGTCAATTTGCCACTGATATTTGGCTCACATTGGAAAAAGAATTTTTGACTGAATCTAGAGCTAAGACATTTCACATTAAAAACCTC